ATGAGTATTAATTTTAAAGTAAAAATATGAGAAAAAGTCGAACAATTGAAACAGTTGGCAGGGTGTGTGGTGAGCATTAAGTTTTCTCTTGCCTTTGAGCATTTAACGTCACCAACTCATGTCATATGACAGCTCTGAAACACTGATTTTTGTAATTAAAAAGAAAAGGACTTGCCTATTTGATTTTAAGAAGTGTTGACATGAAATGCATGCTAATTTTTAAAAATAACTATTGGGAGCGCTTACAGTTATAATATTACATAATTCAATCATATCAAGCACTGCTGTACAATTGCTAACACCATCCGTTTCAAAACATTTTCTTCTTAAACTCTTTGATAACTTAATATCTGCTCCCCTTTATCTCCTCCCTCCCCTACCATACCACCCAAAGAACCCTTACTTATTTATTTAGATATTTATTTATTCATTTATTCAACCATATCTTACATGTCCAATATATCCCATTGAGTAGGGTTATATAATCATTGTTATCAGCTCCCTATTCCCCCCTTCCCAACACTCTATTCCTCAGGGAACCGTTACTCCTGTTACTGTTTCTGCAGGGTTATTTACCTCGGCTTTCATGTATCAAATGATCTTAAATATGCAAATTAACCTGCACAAATCTGACATGATTAATAAAGTAAAACAAATGAAAACCATAATCGTAAGGGAAGGAAATATTAAAAAATTATAAGATAGTTATTTGGTCCATCTGTGCTATACCACACCCTGGATTTGTCATTCTTTCCTTGTGACCCTTCTAAGAGGGACTGTTCAATTATCTTGCAGGGGAGTTTTGGGTCTCTCCTCCATCTTTGCCCCTGTACACCGATTTGGTTGCTTGTTTTTGAACTTCTGATACCTTTTCCTGTGAACACTTCATGATCACATGGGCTTGTGTGCTTCTTCCATGTGGGCTTTCTTGCTTCCCTGCTAGATGGCCTCTTGTTTAACTACAAGCCTTTAAGATCCCAGATGCTATATCTGGCACCATCCGCTTTCTTCACCACATTGCTTGTGCACCCATTTTGTCTTCAGTGATAGTGTCAGCAAGGTGAGTATCATGCAATGCCTCGGTACAAACTGCTTTTGTACTGAGAGAAGATTTACGTAGAGGTCCAAAGTCCATCTGCTTCCACGTTGCATTTGCATGTATATACATATATAAGCAAATACATATATTTTTTAATTAAAATATTTTATTGGGGGCTCTTAGAGCTCTTATAAGGATCATACAGCAATTATATCAAGCATATTTGTATATATGTTACCATCATTCTTTTCTAGACATTTACTTTCTTTTGAGCTCTTGGTGTCAGCACTTCTTCCCCCCCACCCCCCTAGCCTATGACCCCTTGATAAATTATAAATTATTATTTTCATATCCACTGACCACTGTGTCCCTTCTCCCATGGTTCTGTTGTTCATCCCTGGGTAGGAGGGAGGGTGGAGTAATGTGTTGATCATTGCTATTGGTTCCTCCTTCCTCCCTCTCCCCACCTTCCCCCTACTCTTCAGGTATCACTATTCCCATTCCTGTTCCTCCTTTCTTTTTTTTTCTTCCCACTGTCATACTTAACCATCATTCACCTCTCAGTAATACTTCTCAGATTCAATTTAATTGATCAAACATGACCAGAAAAGCTACACCCTCCTTAGAACCCTTTAGCCATCATTATTGGCTCACTGCTCACCTCCCCCTCCCTCCTCCCCGCCCATGCCCCTCAGGAACTGTCAGTCCAGTGACTCTCCATAAAATTGCTTATTCTGACTATCTTGTATAGATAGGCACCAAAAAAAAAACCCCAAAAAAACACCATACAAATAGTCACAAGTCTAACCAGGTTTCTGACATAGAGGAGATGAATGTTTCTCTGTTAAATAGAGAGCAGGACATGTCATAAACCATCAGTCCAGTCCTTATTTCTTTCAGGGTTACATATCCTGGGTTCCGCTTACCGAACAATACATACACCCTTTTAGTCTTCAACATTCATATCTGAAAGGCAAGCATTCTGAAATTCCTCATTGCTATTCCTGCAGTCAAGGATGAAGTGGTCTAGTGCCCCTCTCCCCACCCCCCACCCCAGTTACCCCTTTGGCCTTTCAGTGTGGTCCCCTGTGAGTGATCCCTAACCAGTTCAGATGAGATGCCAAGTGCTGCCCCCTGAGTCAGAAGTCTAAGATTGGGATTCTTCGGGGACTTTGTGACTTTGCTTCCATCACTAGTCTGTTGACCTCCCCTCTTGATTTGCCTCCTTGTGGGCACTGTATCTTCAGAGCTGTCCTCTGCAGTGCTGTCATCTAGGGAAAGGACATCACGTCCTGGACTGAGGCCGGCTCTGCTGTCATCTCTGAAAACATGCTGCTCCGAGTAGGAATATCGCCCTCAAGGATTGGCACAGTGGAATGAGGCCTACTCTTGCTCTCCATTTCCTATGGCAATGTAAATAATACCCGCCTCATGGGTTGGTTAGTGCCCTGACCCCTCATTGCCATCATTTTTCTTACCCCACCCCTCTGTAGGCCTTAATGGCATATGAGAGGAGTGGCAAAAGATGCCTTTCAACACAGGTGCTAATCTTCATCTGTTTTTGATGACATGATTCATTGGGTTTGGTATGGCTCATGCCAGAATATTTAGTTCTCAGCCCAGGAATTTTGAGTTGTATGCTTTTTCCCTATTCCCATTTTGCTGTTTGAACTTACCTCAGTGGACTTACATTGTACTTGACCTTTTGTGCATGATATCCTCCTTCAAGTCTTTACACAAAATGAGGTTTTTCATCATTTCAGTTCCATCACTATTTTTTAGGGATGTGTAGTATTCCATTGGGTGTACACCTCAGAGTTTTTTCATCCATTCATCTATTGATGGAAATTTAGACTGTTTCCAATTTTTTTGCAATTGTAAACTGTGCAGCTATGAACATTGGAGAACAGATGTAGAATCATGCATGGTCTATTTCTTACTTTGGGGGGGTATATGTCCAGTAGTGGAATTGCTGGATTATATGGTAGCTCGATTTCCATCTGTATTATCAGATTGCTTTCCACAGTATACATATCTACAAGATCACCAGCAGTGAATGAGAGTTCCTATCTCACCACACCCCTTCCAACATTTGTTGCTTTCTGTTTTTTTGAATTGGGCTATCTTTGTGGGTGTTAGGTGGTATCTCATAAATACTTTGATTTGCATTTCCCGAATGACTAATATCAGGAACATTTTCTCATATGTTATTGGCCATTTGGATGTACTCCTTTGGAAATCTGTGCAAGTCTTTTGCCCACCCTGTCAGTGAGATATTCGTCTCTAAGACACTATATAAGTTCAATGCAACTCACATACAAATTCCAGCATTATTTTTCAAAGAAATGGGAAAATCTGACTACCAACTTCATGTATAAAGTGAAGAAGCCCAGAATTAACAAGGAACTTCTCAAGAGGAAAAACAAAATGAGTGGCCTTGCACTGCTTGACTTTAAAACTTATTATATAGTCATAGTTATCAAAACAGCATGGTATTGGCATAATGATAAGATACTTGGATTAATGGATAAGGACAGAATATCCAGAAATTAAAACAGCATCATACAACTGATCTTTGACAAAGGCCCCCAAAAATATCAAATGGGAATCAGATGCCCTATTTAACAAACGGTGCTGTAAAACTGGATATCAGCCTATAGAAGAATGAAATACAATCATTCAATACCTCACTCCATATACAAGAACAAATTCAAAGTGGATCACTGACCTTGAGGTAAAACCCAAAACTATCAGGATCGTCAATGAGAAAATTTGGACAAAGTTAAGAACCTTAGCACAGGGCGGACGTGGGCTATCAGAAATAAGGAAGGCTAAACACTCATAGGAAGGTAAAATAGACAAGTGGGGCTTACTAAAGATAAAATGGAAAGACTTCGTCAAAAGAGTAATAAGAGAGCCCAGAGACTGGGAAAAGATAGTAACGACATGTCAAACAAAGGGCTTTTTACTAAAATCTACAGAATCTTGGGAGCATGCTAATTGTTTTGACATTCTCATGATAAAACTAAATTATAAAAATAACTTGAACATTAAGACAACCCATTGGTATCTGGTCAATTTTAACTCACAAAGACTCTGTACGGCAGAGAAGTACTGCCCTGTAAGGTTCCAAAACCAACTGCCATGTCTATCTCCAGTGGAGAGGTCGGATACTTTCCAACCTCTGCTTTTTTAGTTAGCAAGCTCTTTAACCATAACACCACCCAGGGTCTTTAAACATTGAGCAGAAGTTCCAGAAACTCCATGAATTGAGATTCTTCTAATGATAGTTTGTTTGTTTGTTTGTTTATTGCAGAGCATGTTCCAGGCTTTCTTTGCCTTAAATGTTCCACTCCTATTTTTGTGTATCTGTCCACAATCAGCTTTTCTTTTGAATATCTTTTCAGATCTTTTAGTGAACTTGCCTCTGATTCATTTTTCCTTCCTTGCCTTGATGGCCATTATCAGCTTTTTTGTGCAAGAACTGACCTTTTCAATATCCTTCTCAGTATCTTCCATATAGTATATTTCATAATATATATTTATTCAGTAAATTTCCCCAGCATTTTTGTTGACCTAACGGCTAAGAAAATGGGCGTTTATGGTAGGTCCTGGCCCAAATTTCAACTGCCCTTAACTAGCTATGTCACTGGGCATGTTGCTTAGCTTCTTTGGCCTGTACCCAGGCTTCAAAATTAAAATGTGACTAATGCAGCACTTTAACTATAGCGTTGCATTGAAGGTTAAAGGAGATTGCTTATGCAAATACCTTGCATGGTTCTTGGCATGTGGTAAGTATCTAGTTAATGGTCGTTGTAGTTGTATTGGTGGTTGGTATTTAGTGAGTATTTCAATGTCATTTCCGTTTACTTTAGAGCAGAATTTGATGGCTGCATTAAAATCATTTCATCTTTGTTGCTAATGGATCCTCATTAATTTTCTTCTCATTTCTGTGCTTCAGGGTTATTGATTTAGGTGTTATGACTCCCTGTGATAAGATACTAAAAGCTGCTCTTGACCACAAAGCAGGTACTATGCAACTATACTTAATGGGCATTTCATGGAATGTTGCTTCTTCCAAGTATTGGTCAGTGAATAGTAATGCCTCAGCTCATGTGGGACCAGTGGGACATTAGGACACCAGGTGTCAGATCCGACATGGGAATTGTTCTGATTACCATTTATAATGCTTGTTGGGTATGCTGATTATGTTTCAGTGAAACTCCTTTATAGCTCTGGAGATGGGGAATGAGGATACGTTATTACAAGGAAAGTGTATGAGATAGTCTGTGTCTCATTTTTTTTTGTTTGTTTCCTTGGAAATGGTAATGTTAGTTTGTAAGATATATTCTACTGAGTAATATTCAAAACTCTTAGTAAGTATATTATTGCAGCTTAAAGTTACACATAATATTAACCAATGCAAAAAAGCAAGTAAAAAGCCCCTAGTTAGAAATAAAGTCATAAAAGTAGAAATTAGAACTCCATGTTAGGTCTTGTGGTCTTAATGACAATTTTTGACCTATATTTCTTCACATATTTTCTCATATTCCTTCTTCTTTTAAAATAATAGATATAATTGGTCTGTCAGGACTTATCACTCCTTCCCTTGATGAAATGATTTTTGTTGCCAAGGAAATGGAGAGATTAGCTATAAGGATTCCATTACTGATTGGAGGAGCAACCACTTCCAGGTACGTCTTACTAATGAAATTTTTATGTGAGTGTAAATTCTCTTTAGTTGTCAGTGTTTGAAAACACCGATAAAAGCTGTATTGTTTTGTTTTATCTTATGATCTTGACTAGTTAGTACATGTACTAGTACATAAAAACATAAGCATTCTAGTCTTCAGTTAAATAAGAATCAGAACATGTTTGGAAACTCCTTTGTGATTCCAAGACTCCTTGTCTCCTTTTACTTGTAGTCTTTTGATTTTTTTTTAATTCTCTCACCTCCCACTTAGTTTCTGATATTCCAGTAAATGCTAGTTTCTCTTGAAGTCAAGCTGGGTAGAAAAGTCCATCTTTTTCCACAGAGACTTTGCTTAAACTTATGCCTGCCCTGGTCTTGAAGCCAGGTGTCTGTAACAAAACTCAGACCCTCTAATTGTTTAGAAAGGTAAGTTCACTGCCATTGAATCAATTACTCATAATGACACTACAGGGCAGATTAGAACTGCCCCATTTGGGTGTCCACAAGATGTCAGATCTCTACAAGAATAGATAGCCTCATCTTTCTCAATTGGCGCATTTGGTGAGCTTGAGCCACTGTACTTGTGGTTTGCAGCTCAGTTTGTAACCCACTGTACCACCAAAGTTCCTTGAAAGCTAAGTGAACTAAAGGTTCTGTTTAGGAAATCATTATGAAAAGGGAAATCTTAAAAAAAAAAAAAGAAAGAAAAGGGAAATCTTCTGGGGACCTTTTAGTATAAGTAATGAAAGGGGATATTTTCAACATCTATTTCAGGATCATTACTCAATTTGATATTCTTGGTCATAGTGGTATTTGATGGGAGATATGTTAATTATGTATACTAGACTTTTTAATGACAGTTCACTTTGGCAAAGAACACCAAGCTGTAGCATTGGTCTTGAAGGTGCCACATACATTGTGATCGTTACGCTTTTTGGTCAAGTTGGATAGGCCAGGATGCTCAGTGCTTTAGCCAGTTAGATAGAGTAACACTACCCATCCCCCACCCAACAGCGAGATCTTGAGAGTGTGTCTTTTTCCAATGTGCTGTGGAAAAACTTGCTTGATTTTTGCTGGATGTGGGTACTGCAGTTGGCTTGTCAACTGATTGTCAGTTTGTTGAACTTGACCCAGCAACCTGCTGTATTACCTACTGATCCTGGAAATCATCAACCTGCTACCTTTTAGCTGCCAACCTCAGATTTATTCGTCTCTGGAGTCTGCCATCTGATCTGCTGATCTTGGGTTAATCTTCCCCTGTTTCTACTCAAGTCAAGAGTAACCTCCACTGACCCCAGACTTAGAATTTGTTATGTGTCCTTTATCCATTAACTGCTATTCTTACTAAAAAGTAGTGTGGTTATTGTTGTTCATGACAGAAGAGTGCTGCTTTTTTCTGAGGAAAGTGTCATCCACTAAGAAATGTGACAAGATTGTTCTCAAGAGCTAGGGCTTATAGGGAGGGGCGCGAGGAATGAGGAGCTAATGCAGGGGCTCAAGTGGAAAGTAGATGTTTTAAGAATGATGATGGCAACAAATGTGCTTGGCACAATCGATGTATGTATGGATTGTGATAAGCATTGTACGAGCCCCCAATAAAATGATTGGGGGGAAAAAAGAGATAGGGTCTACTATTGATCACTGGGGGTTTGATAAATAGTCTTGGGTTATCATTGCTGATGTCAGATGGATCTTGTCTCAAAGTAGAGAATACTGGGAATATGTTTATTTGTGTTTTATTGACTTTTAAAGACATTCGACTTTGTCAACCACAATAAACTATGGATAATCTTGAGAAAAATGGGAATTTCAGAACACTTCACTGTGCTCATGAGGAACTTTTCCATGGATCAAATGGCAGTTGTGTGAACAGAACAAGGGAATTATATGAAATCAAGAAAGGTGTGCAAAGGTTGTATCCTTAGAAAATACTTGTTCAGTGTGTATGCTGAGCAAATAATCAGAGAATCTTACTTATATGAAGAATGTGGCATCAAAATTGGAGGAATACAGTCTGTGATATGCAAATGACATAACCTTGCTTGCTGAAAGTGAGGACTTGAAGCACTTACTAATGAAGAGCAAGGATTGCAGCCTTTAGTATGAATTAAAACTCATGTAAAGAAAAGCAAAATCCTCACACTGGATATCATATTTAGTAAAGTAGATATCCAGCAAAGAAAATAAAGGCCCCTCAATGAGATGGGTTGACACCATGGCAGCAACAATGTGCTCAGTCATAGGAACAATTGCAAGGGTGGCCCAGGACTAAGAATTATTTCCTTCTATGTTGCATAGGGTCACTATGGGTTGGAACTGACTCTATAGCACCAAACAACAACAGTCTTGGGTATTTGTGGTTATAGTGTGAATGTTAATGAACTTAGGAAAGAGTGCTTAAAATCACTTTTAGTTATTACAGTATGAAAAAGCTTTCAAGACGTGGGTTTAAATAGTATACAAGGGTACTCTCACTCCCCGCCCCCCAAGAGTAGTTAACTCTTAGGTGGTGCTCTAGAATGGTGGTTTATATTAAGCATCTTGATGTATTAGAATAAGTGTAAGGGGAGGAATCAAAAAAGTGTAAGAGGAAAATTGTTTGAGGAGGATGAAAGGAAGCAGAAAGAGGAGGGATCAAGAGGTGTTAATTAGTAGGTTAAAAATAAGGAAATTACAACCAAAAAACATGGCTTATTTTGCTATGATGGGGTAATGGATAATAATATTTGAGAGAAACTAAGGAAGAAATTGCAAAAGTTATGTCAGCTTTTGATTTTATGAGGATGAGAATGAAACAACGATAATGAGAAGAAAGACAAAAAATAGGTAAATCGCTGTGAAATAAAAGTTTAAATACTAAAATTAAAGAAGGAAAGGACAATAGACCAAAGTATTAAAAATAAAAATAGATAAACAGTAATAGAATAAGAAACAGAAGAGCTGTTGATATATGTGTTTTTAGGTTCTAAACTTTGTCCAGGAGCTTTGTCTCTGATGTGGGTGTTCACTTGTGGACTGAAGGTGTGTTGAGGGACTAGAACACTAACTAAACTGAAAGCAAAAAAATAAAGTAATAATAATTTTTCCCTGCTCTTATATGTGGCACCAGTTGGAGAAGTCCTGATTGTGGATGAATTATAATAGTGCAACACTTTGTTTTAAAGGGGGTATAGGAATGATCAATACAGAGGAACAGCAATACTAACAAAAGAACATTTATGGTCTAGACCTTATCCTGAAGGGAAATAGAACTGTATGGATCAGAGGTCTTTTGAGCAGTTGGGGACAGTGTCTGGTAATATGTTCTTTTACTAACTTATAGTCTTTTAGGATGTCAGGGCAGGCTTGATATTGAAGCTACGGGAATGATGGTGGTGTCTGGTATGGCTGAAAGTGTTGTGTTTTTATGACTTATGTTAATTATATTAAGGATCGAGTCTGAGGGGATGGAGTTTGCTCTTTTTGAATGAAGGAAGTGATCAAGTGGGGGTGTAGGATTGGAGTTTCTACCTAGGCTCTATGCTCCTTTTTGGTCAGACCTGTGTGCTGTCTGATCCAGCTGCCTTGCCTCACCACACGTGCCATGCCATGCCTGTGGACCATTTTACTGTGCCATGCCTTTCCATTCAGTGCCATGCTGTACTGCCTCATTGTGCTGCAGTTTGGGGTGTTTTCATGCTATGCTGCCTGTGGGCTGACTAGTCTCCCCTCCACATGCAGTCACACCACCAGTCAGCCACCTTTCATTGCCACACCTTGAGGTTCCCTGTGACTTCCATTGTGTTTTGCCACACTATGCAACTTCCCTCTGCTACTCTTCACCACACCTTGCCTTTCTACATTCTGTTTTATTGGCCTTAGGGGCTTAGTGGCTATGTGGGTTGGAAAGACTCTTAGTATATTAACTGACCCACAGAAGTGAGTCTGATTGAACGGTATTGTTGTGTGGGCTGCTTTGCTGTTCAAATTCCTTCTTGTTATATAAACTTACCAATCATATTTTTTTAGGCCAGGTTAACTGCAGAAACAGATCTAGTGACTCTCATATATGTGTAAGAAAGAACTTTATATCAAGAAGTAATTGTCTATCAGGAGGAAAACATCCCAGACCAGTCCAACTCAAGTCCTTAAGTTGGATATTAGTCTATGAATCCCTCTTCAGAATCGTGCAGCTACATGCAATGATGCAGAATGCAAGAATATCACCAGCTGGTGGGTGCAAAGTCATGTGGATCCAGTGGTGGTGGACGCATCTCCAGGGCTCTGGCAGTAATCAGGGTCCACCAGCAGGAAGGTGAAAGCAGAGAGGAGGCGGGGTGGGGAATTCCCAGGGCCCTGCTTATAAGAAGGCCACACACACAAGGAGTCACCATCAGGCTGTGACACAATTGACAGGCTAAATTCCACCCCTACACTTTTCTATATCTTCAAGTTAACATGAAATTATGTTAACTGCCACCAATATATTCTTAGAAGAATCCTGATTTTGTTTCTCTAGAGAACACTCTATAATACAATTGGTAGTAAAGAGTGGTTCTGGAGAAATAAAATCATAACTATGAGCTTCCTGTATTGATTATCCTGTCTGATTAGCCCCAAAGGTACTGAGCATGCCACACCTGCCCCTGAAAGCATACATAAGGCTTCCACTATTACTAAAGAGGGTGTCAAGTGGCAAAGTTAATATCCACAATATCACCAATATATATGAAGTGCTGGCAATAGGTGAGACTCTGGGTGATCCTGAGTTTTATATTTTTCAGCAGTTTTGTCAGAATGAGAAGTGTAGGGAAGCTGGTTGGTTAGTATTCTTTACAATAGAAAACGTGATCAAAGAAAGGGATGATCTCAGAACCTCAGAAGCACATTTTAAATGAAGAATAAAAAATATGAAAGCTTTTGCATGTGCTGCAAAGGAATGCCTTCTCTCCTGTAGTAAAAGAGCTGTTAATAGTGAAACCCAAATTCAGTCTTATCATACAAGTATCTGAATTACAGTGCCAGAGGACGCTGGGAAGATGGTGCTGAGATAGAGTCCCCTGTCTAGAACTCCACTTGCCCAGAAATCAACTACAAGTTTTTCTATGATTAATACCATCAGTTAAGACCTACTCTAGAACACCTATCTCCTATTCATCCTACCCACTCAACTATCACTGTCTCCTAATCTCCACACAAGATGATTTCCAGCTTCTATCTGATTCTCCTCCTCTAACTTAAAAAAGCCACCCCTGCCCTTACAGAACCCAAAATCTTAAGCATCATCTACAGCTGGACCACCGTGTCTCACAAACAACAGCCATCAGCAGCGATCACAAAAGATCAAGAGCAACAGAAGCCAGCACCTGATTTACCCAAACCCAATGGAATACACAGAAAAGAAGCCTTTGATCTGCCAGAATATAATACAGAAAAAATGATATTTTGGGCCATACGAGAAATCAGGGAACAATCCTGAAAACAGAATAATAAATTGAGATACTAAAGACATGGAAACACAAATTAGCAATGAGTTAGCAGCCATGAATTACAGTGCCAGCTAAATTATAAACCTAGAATGGTGTCTGTCTGTATTAGTCCTGGTTGGCTAGAGAGACAAATTCATGGACACCTATGTGTGTAATAGAGAACTTTATGTCAAAGAGTAACTGTATACTAGGAAAACATCTCAACCCAGTCCAGATCAAGCCCATAAGTTTGATATTAGCCCATATGTTTGGTACCAATCTATAAATTCCTCTTCAGACTCACAGGACACATGCAATGATGCCAAATGCAGGAACATTACAGGCCAGTGGGTGGAAATTCTGGTGGATCCTAGTAGCAGTGGAAGCATCTCAATGCTGGCAGGGGTCTCCACGTGGCTCCTCCAACTCCAGGGCTCTAGTGTAGCTTCATGTTAACTTTAGTTAATGAAGTAATTTTAAGGATTAAAGGGTCTTTGTTTTGAAGTACTATCAGTTTCAAGTTATGGTAATAGGGATTTGGGGGCTGAACCAGCTTTAGAATAAAATATATTACAAACAGTAATGGGAGTAATGATTCCAAGAGAGTAGGTGAAGGAGGCGAAAGGGGGGAAGGGAGAATGGATAGCAATGATAGTGGAATACCACCACCACCCCCCCGAGGGGGGATAAATACCAGAATAGAAGGCAAAGGGATAGTATGAGAAATGTAAGATATGTATAAATAATAAAAACACATAATATATAAATAGTTCATGGGGGTGGTAGTGTGGGAGGGGGGAGGGAATAAAAAGCTGATACTAAAGGGCTCAAGAAGATAATGTTTTAAAATTGTTGGTGCCAATATTTGTACATGTCCAACATATAATGGATTGTTATATGTAAGAGCCCCCAAAGAAATTATTAGGCCCACGGTTCCTGATTAACATTGCAAGGTTCCTGGGGACCAAGGTGTGTTAGTGTCCCCTTTGAATAGGGGAGGAGCAGCTTAAGAGCTTTGGCCTGTGATAGCAGTGCCTCCTCTCCTAGTCCCTGATGCTGCAGGGTCCCTGGCTATTGTATTAATTTAAATGGGGGAGGGGGGAGAGGGCCAGCCCCTACCGCTAGTTGCGGGTTCAATAATGCACAATTGTATGGTTGAGATATATAAGCATTATATTAAAGTCATTGAGAGCATGAGAGATATTACAATAATGCAGTCAAAGACATTACATGGTAGTATTGCTCACCTCAGCCCAGCTTGGTGGTCCACGTGGATAGAGGGGTGTTAGGGACCACACAAGGCTGCAATAACAGAAGAGGTTTTATTATGCTAGCTTAAGCCAGGGCTCGAGTCCTCAGGTGCTTATCTG